TTATGCGTTCCCTCCATTCCCTCTAATACTAAGAGTAGTATCAAAGCTGTGTCAGGACAGGGCAACAGGAATCCTTGTGACTCCATGGTGGCCACGTCAGCCATGGTTTGCCCTAGTACTTCGGTTGTCAAGGAGAGTTTACAAACCACTTCCCGGCAGGAAGGACCTGTTATCGATCCAGAACAATCAGGTTCTATATCCGGATGTTCAGAGCCTCAGGTTGACTGCTTGGAGAATCCTTCCAATCCAGGAGGATTGATGTTAGGGATCTCAAGTGATGTGAAAAAGGTCCTTGAGGCAGCGCAGAGAGTATCCACGAGAAGGTCATACATTTATAAATGGTCACGATTTACGAAATTTGCTCAGGGGAAAGGAGAGAACCCTTGCACAGCCAAAACTGGGTTAATACTAGAATTTTTGATGTCACTAGCTAACCAGGGCCTTGCCTTGTCTTCGTTGAAGTGTTATTTAGCTGCTTTGACGTGGTTCCGTAGGAAGGCAGGACTTCCGTCTTGCTTCAGTGACCCGTTAATCTCTCAATTCATGAAAGGTTTTGGAAATATTAGGCCCCCAGTAACGCCGGTGGCCCCAGCGTGGAGCCTAGAAGTAGTTCTCTCGGCTCTGATGAGACCACCTTTTGAGCCTATGGCTACAGTAGATCTGTCTTTTCTATCTTGGAAGACGGCGTTTCTAGTGTCTATAACGTCGGCACGCAGGGCAGGAGAGATTTGTGCACTTAGACATGATGAGCCATATTTGAGATTGCACAAGGATAGGGTGGTCCTTAGGACAGATTTAGCTTTTTTACCAAAGGTAGCCACTAAATTTCATCTCTCTCAGGAGATAGTGCTTCCAGCCCTTTTTCCAAACCCGGCTTCTTCTTTGGAGAAGAAACTTCACTTACTGGATGTACGTAGAGCCCTAATCTTTTACTTAGACAGAACTTCGGCTATTAGAAAGTCCCCAAGGTTATTCTTGAAATACCGTAGGGATGCGTTAGGCCTCCCAGTATCATCCCAACGCCTTTCGTCGTGGATAGTATTGACAATACGAAAGGCTTATACTTTAGCAGGGAGGGACTTACCTTTACAGGTGAAAGCTCATTCCACAAGGGCGGTGGCGACGTCGACGGCGTTCCTGCGTGGAGTACCGTTGGATGTGGTGTGCAGAGCTGCAACTTGGTCGACTCCATCTACCTTCGTGGCTCATTATAAGCTGGATGTAACATCAAAGAAGGATGCAGCCTTTGGCCGGGCGGTACTGTTTTCAGCTGTGGCATGACACCCTCCTCCGAGGTTAGCAGCTCGTTAGTCTACCATTTGTGTGAATGACAGGCCTACCACGCGGGGAAAATATGGGTTGCTTACCTGTAAACATAGTTTCCCGAGTGGTAGCCTGTATTCACACGTCCCGCCCATCCTCCCCACTTTTTGGTCATGCCCCAGGGCTTCTGGCTGCCTTTTTTTGCGGCGGAAGAACTGGCCGGTAGCCCCGCGGCAGGGCTATTTATAAGGTGGAGAGAAAGGGGCGGGGCTTTTCTAACGGTCAGTTAGTAGCTTGGGAATGTCCGTTGCTGGCCTGCGCGAGCGCAGGGAATACCATTTGTGTGAATACAGGCTACCACTCGGGAAACTATGTTTACAGGTAAGCAACCCATATTTGTATTTTATAAAGGAAAAGGGGACTAGATGATACCCACTGATACAGTAGTAACTTTTAGCTGTTTCTACAGGAGAGGCCCAAAAGAAGAATAAAAGGGCTTTCCCACACATTGCTGAAAAGAGCTGTGAAATCAAAAAGGAGGGTCTGTTAACAGATACCATATTTTCTGGCATATAAGACTAGGCGTATAAGACAACCCCCAACTTTTCCTGTTAATATATAGAGTTTGGGATATACTTGCTGTATAAGATTACCCCTCCTCCAAAGCACACTAAATAAATTTTTAAAAAAACATGAGATTTGATTTCAATATGGTAATTTTCCTATTACCACACTTTCTTCTCTGCCTCTCAGATCTCGCACATGCGTGCCTGCGCCGCTTCACCGCAGTCCTCAGGAGCAAGATCTGAGAGGCAGAGAAGGAGGTACTGTAATAGGATACAAGGGCGGCCCAGATGGGTGAAAGAGGCGTGTTTTTCTGGGCACAGCACCACTCTATCTCTATGAGAGAAGCCTCCCACAGGATGGTAGAACATCCGGGCACCCCCTGAGCAACGTCCTTGCAGATGGCCAGTTTCCTCACAGCCTGCAGCTTGCTCCGCCCTTCACTTACACCTTCCCAGTGAGGCGTCCTCTCACTTCATCATCCGGACCGTGTTAAGTCACTTCTTTTCACGAATCCTGGTGAGTGGATTTTCTTCTACCATACTTGTATAGTGCCGCCCTTTGCTACTTTCATACAGTCACTGCATGTAGCGGGGATGCGGTGGTGGCCTTTTTGAGCTCCCCCTACCATATGCGGTGACCGGAAATTCTCCAGTCTGGTTCGGAAGTTTCAGCGCCCGGCCTATAAGATGATATCCGACATATAAAACAACCCTGACTTTTGAGATTTTCCTGGGTTAAAAAGTAGTCCTATATGCCAGAAACTCTTGACGCAGCAGCGACTTCTGTATTAACTTGACATTATTAATGGCAATCTATTGAGAATATTTACTGTATAAATTCCTCTTTCTGCAGCAAGTAATTCCTGAGAGTTCTTCTTGGTACAGGTGTCCTCCTTCAAAAGGATCAGCCAAACCTATGAATACGTTGACATTTTTGTTCGCCTAGTATTTTAGCAAATGCTGTTAATGTAATTAAAAGTATTGACAGCAGTACACGTGAAAAAGATCTTGGGAGTCCTGGTGGACAGGAAGGTGAACATGAGCCAACAATGCGACGCGACAGCTAAAAAAGCCAGTAAGATTTTGGCCTGCATAAATAGAAGTCTAGTGTCCAGATCCTGGGAAGTCATGATACCCTTCTATTCTGCCTTGGTCAGAACACACCTGGAATCACACGGTGTCCAATTCAGGGCACCACAATTGAAAGAAGTGGACTCTAAGCTGGAATGTGTCCAGAGAAGGGCAACTAAAATGATCAAGGGTTTGGATAACAAACTCTGTGAGGAGGAGCTTAAAGAGCTGGACATGTTTAGCCTGCAGATGAAAAGGCTGAGAGGAGACATGATGAGGGCCATGTATAAATATGTAAGGGGAAGTAATAGGAAGAAGGAAGCAAGCTTGTATTCTGCTACTCAAACTACAGGAAAGGAGATTCTACCTGAACATTAGGAAGAACTTCCTAACTGTGAGAGTTCTTCAGCAATGGAACTCTCCACCCCAAAGTGTGATGGAGGTTCCTTCTTTGGAGGCTTTTATACAGTCTGGGAGGCCATCTGTTGGGGGTGCTTTGAATGCAATTTTCCTGCTTCTTGGCGGAATAGGGATGGACTGGATGGCCCACGAGCTCTCTTCCAATTCTAATTGTAGAAGTTGGAGGCTGTTCTGAAGTCTTCTGTTGCAACTGTGTGACTTTTGTAATTTTGACCAATTTATTTTCTGAATCTCTCTAAAATTATGGTTATTGGTACAATGAAAGATATTAAAATGTTTTAAAGGAAACACTGCGAGTTGGAAAACACATAATGTATAGCTGAAAAAGATAGTTTTCTGCCCCTACGTTGGCAGTCTTTAGGAAGAGCTTGAAGACCTGGCTATTCCGGTGTGCCTTTCCAGAATAAGAAACTCCAGCAACACGTCCCAGAAGCACTTTACTAGAGATTTAAGATTGTCCGCACATTGCACTTACCCAAATATCCTTATATTGCACTTGGCATACTCAGCACTTTTTAATCTGTACCCATTACACTTGGCTTGGCCTTAGTTCTATTGTGCTACGTGTACTGTTTTTACTGTTTACTGTTATTGCTTTAATGTTTTGATTTGCTTTATGGTTTATGTGTATCTGTTATATTGTTGTTTATTGAGGCCTTGGCCTTTGTAAGCCGCATCGAGTCCTTCGGGAGATGTTAGCGGGGTACAAATAAAGTTAATAATAATAGTAATTTAAGACTCACTTTTTTCTTATATAACCATCTCTAAAATAGGGTGCACCTTAGAATTGCAAATGTATCTTATGTATTTCTGTTGATAGTGGTACTGAAATTAGGGTGCATCTTACAATCAATGGTGTCCTACAATTCAAGAAATATAGTTCTTTTGCTGGTACTTCATTGCAAGAGACTGATGAAAATGTGTGGGTTGAAAAGAGGGAAGAACACACATGACAAATGGTTTAAAGTTCAATATTCACTCTTTTTTCTTCCTCCAAATACAAAAAGCTGTTACAATTCAACTCAACACAAAGCATGTGCAAAGTTACAGGAACTTAGACATCGTATAAAAAAGTTACACAGTTAAGATGGTTTCCCCCCTTGTTCCTTCTCTCCTGCACTGAGCCAAAAGGAATGGTTTACCTCGAGGAAAATATTAATAGTTGCTGACCCACTGTAAAAAGTTACAGGAAAAAAAATCTAAAAACAAAGCATTGTTACCATAAGATAAAACAATCTCTTCTCCTTCCTGTTTTTAATAGTTATTTTCAGAAAAAGACAGATAAAAACACCTCAAAGACAGGTGGATGACAAACTGCAGGAAGAGTATCCAAAACACCTTGGAGTTTAGGATCACTACCAGAACTGTGTGAGACGATGGTGGAAGAGAGAAGGAGGTGATAAGATCCTAAGAGGGTTCCAAAGCTGCAGGAAGTTTGAAATCTTGGACTAAAAGTACAAGAACACGAGGCTAAACACGGCAGCTTCGTTCAGAACTGGAAAAATTTAAAAAAAAAAGAGGGGAGGGGGAGTCTTTGACAAGGAGAGACAAGAAATCGCATAACATCCTCGTGAGGGATGATGCAAAAGGGAAGTAACATGCCTCTATCTGTACAGGTAAAAATGCAGCCAACCTCAAGATCTAGACAGAGGAAAGAAGGGCAGACAGACAACTTCCCGCCCGGGTTTCCCCCAGACTCAGAAATGCCCAGCATCCAGTTACGAACTTGCCAACAGCAGAACATTGCTGTGATATTTCTAAGAATGATGCGGAGTCCTCACTGGGCACTGGAGCCTCCCTGCGAGTTGCCTGCGTAGCTCCCATAGTCGTAGCTGCCGTAGTATGGGGGCCACTGGCTCTGGTTTTGATAATATTGGTTCCACTGCTGATTGTACTGTGGAAGAAACAAACACATTTGGTTAAGAGTTGCAGTGGAAGCCTCCCAACCCAAAGTACTCATCTGTATTTTCATCCATTATTTAAAATAATGCCACGATTGCCAAAAAAATAAACTTGTGACTATTTTTTTCAAGTGGTGCCCAGTTCATTTATTTCCCATTCATGGCTTTGGGTTCCTCAAAATTCTCATAGCTAGATGGGTGGGATGAAGATGCGCCATAATAATAATCCAAGTTGATCAAATTGACTTGAGTATTCTGTATTCTGTATTCTGTATTCTTATTATTATTATTCCTCCCTATCTCCCCGAAGGGACTCAGGGCAGTTTCCAACAAACATGGCAATGCCATACGAAAACCATACAAACAGTTTATGTCAGGACAAGACACATTAGACCAGTGGTTCTCAACCTGGGGTCCCCAGATGTTTTTGGCCTACAACTCCCAGAAATTCCAGCCAGTTTACCAACTGTTAGGATTTCTGGGAGTTGAAGGCCAAAAACATTTGGGGACCCCAGGTTGAGAACCACTGCCCTAAACTCTGATACAGCTCTGATGTCCAAGATGTATGCTCAGCTACTGCCCCCCCCTCCAAATAGCTTCAGAATAGTGTTTTCACTTAACCAATACTTTCACCTAAACAACACTTGATTATCATATGTCAAGCTGAGTAAACATAAAAGCGAGGGTTTCTAAGCTCAATACTCCTGCTGCAATACCACAATGACTATCTTTCTACTACAGTGACATCATCATCTTTTCACAGAAGACATCGGTCTGAAAAACCATAAAATCGAGCAAGTTTTTCTCTACTGGTAGGGAAGGCAGCAAATATTCTGCAAGTTCTCTTCACAGCCACATACACTGGAAATGGTACTGGGTTTCCTTTCACCTACCTGTTGGTACTGGTTATAATTGGGCTGATTGTAGGTCGGTGGGGCTGGAGCTGGAGCTGGAGCTGGAACCGGGGCTGGGGCGGGAGCCGCAGCTGGAGCCGGTGGTGGTGGTGGTGGAGGAGGCTGGGTATAGCTTTGGCTGTAACCACCATAGTTTCCGTAGCTGTAGCTCGAAGCTCCGTAACTACCTTGGTTGTAGCTGGATGGGGGGCTGTAGGACTGGCTGTAGCTTTGCTGTGTGGGGTAAATGAATTCTTTATTTTAGAAACTGAATTGCAAGTTTGCAATTAAGTCCCACTAAATTCAGCAGAGAGGATTTTCTCAAATAAACATGACAGCTCAGCCAGAACCTTCCCAGTTATTTTTGTTTAAATCCTACTTGGTGCAATTAAGAACAAAAAGTCATGTAAACACAATTCATACTGAATTCATACTGAACCCATCATGTTCCCCCGTCTTACCTGTGGTCCTTGATTGTAAGTACTAGGTGGGGCAGGAGCAGGGGGTGCAGGAGCCATGGTACTACTGTTGCTCTTGTAAGTGTTCTGGTTGCGTACTGGGCTGTAACTGCTCTGTGGCTGGTTGTTCCGGTTGTAATTTCCTCGGTTGTTGTTGTTGTTGTCTCGGTTTCCACCTCCCCAGCGATTCTGGTTGTAGCCACCCCGGTTGAAGCCTGAGAGAAGGCGATGTATCAGAGAGGTCAAAATAATGCCAAACCTAGATGGTGTGATATAAAGGGCTCTCAGTCTATGGCAGTGGTTCTCAATCTGGGATCCCCAAATGTTTTTGGCCTACAACTCCCAGAAATCCAAGCCAGTTTACCAGCTGTTAGGATTTCTGGGAGTTGAAGGCCAAAAACAGCTGGGGACCCACAGGTTGAGAACCACTGGTCTATGGTATGTAAAAGGTAAATGTTTCCCCTGACATTAAGTCTAGTTGTGTCCAACTCTTGGGAGTAGTGCTCATCTCTATTTCTAAGTCAAAGAGCCGGCATTGTCCATAGACGTCTCCAAGGTCATGTGGCCAGCATGACTGCATGAAACGCCATTACCTTCCCATAGAAGCGGTACCTACTGATCTACTCACATTTGCATGTTTTTGAACTGCTACGTTGGCAGAAGCTAGGCCTAACAGCGGTAGCTCACCCTGCTCCCCGGATTCGAATCGCCAACCTTTCGGTCAGCAAGTTCAGCAGCTCAGCAGTTTAACCTGCCGCACCACCAGGGCCCCCCTATGGTCTGTACCCATACCTAACGTTTTTTTTAATTATTTATTTATTTACTATGCTTGTATAACGCCCCTCTCAGGCCAGAGATGACTTGAGGCGGTTCACATTTGGCAAACAATGTGCCACAAGATAAAATACCGTCAAAAACAATTACATATAGTATAAACCATATAAAAACAATAACAATAAACAATTAAAATCATAAAATACATTATTTTATTTCAAAGACCATGAATAAGAATTACTGTTAGCAATGCTTAATCATAATGTAGGTGGGAGAAAACAAGAGACAGAAGAGGAAGAAAAGGCATCGACTATACCTCCTGAGCAAAGGGGAATGGGCAGAGCTGGTCTATGCTGGTCATATTATCACCCTACAATTCTAACTCTCTTCTGTAATCACAGGGATTCAAGACTTAGTTCCTGGGAAGCAAACATTACGTACTATCCAGATTCTGATGGAATGAAAGACAGCCATATCAACACCCTTAACATCCTCAGGTTGCCATCTTATAACCCTGAAAAAACATCCCCAATGTAACAAAAGTTTCATTTCTAGCTTCGCTTTACTCATTAACTATTTCTCACAGATACAAATTTATTGCTCAACCTATTAAGGAAAACAAATTATGGTTAAGAAACTTTATTCATTAACACATGTATGCAGATTTAATGCCCATTCCAATAAGAAAAACAATCTATAGTTCAGAAACATGTCTACATAGGGCCAGCTTTTGTGATGTAGTTGAGGATTTCTACTTCTAGGCTGCTTTGGGCTAACACGGGGGGTCTCAGCATCCCTTTCAATATGTTGTGGTATTATACAGACACCAATGTTGCAATGTAGGAACCTTACCTCCTCCTCCTCCACCGCCGCCACCTCCAGGTCCTCCTCCTCCTCCACCAGATCCTCCGCCTCCTCTGAAGCCACCTCCAGGCCCACCTCCACCACCTCCAGGTCCTCCACCACCACCTCCACGGTTCTGGAAGCCCCCTCGGTTGCCAACTGGTGGGCCTCGGTTATCAAAGCGTTGGAAGTTGCCGCCGCCTCCTCCTCCTCCTCCTCCTCCACCTCCTCCTCGCCCACGGAAGCCGCCTCCTCCGCCGCCACCGCGGTTGTCAAAGCGCTTTTCCGGTGGTGGGCCAGCCCTCTTGCCTTCGTCGTTGTACTGTCTCACCAGCTTCTCTGCTTCATCCCGCTGCAACTCAATATAGATGACGGAGTCGAGAAAATCGCCTGCTTCTGGCAAGGCAAAGTTAGCTGACAAGAGAAGAAGAAAAGGGGAAAATATCAGTGGCTGGGGAAGAGGAAGCAGAAAGAACAAAGGGGATGGGACTTTCTTCCAGGGCTCCAGGAAAAGATGTAAGAGAACAGGAGAAAAAAGGAATGAGTGGGAGGAACAAGGAGTGAGAGGCATCTTGAGGGACACACATTAGTTTATGGGAGATACTTTTTCTTTCCTTTTAACCAAGGGGAATCAATGTATTTCTCAGCTCCACACACAAGGCTTCCCAGATGTGCTGAACTACAACAAGACATATCATGATGGCTGTAGTTCAAAACACACTGAAGATATTAGATTGCTGTAGCAACAGAGCTGGAAGAGATGCAAGTCATGCCTGCCATCCCAGTCTTCCCTGTCCTACATACATAACGGCAACAAACATTGCTTCCCAAACCAACTAGCTCTCATTAATTTAACCCAGGGTCCCTCAAACTGTTGGAGGGCCAGATTATAATTTGAAAAAACCTTGAATGAATTCCTATGCACACTGCACGTATCTTATTTGTAGTGCAAAAAACACTTAAAAACAATACAATAATTAAAATGAAGAACAATTTTAACAAACATAAACTTATTAGTATTTCAATGGGAAGTGTGGGCCTGCTTTTGGCTGATGAGATTGAATTGTTGTTGTTTTTGTTGTTTGCTTTCAAGTCATTTCAGACTTAGGTTGACCCTGAGCGAGGGCCGGGCAAATGAGCTTGGAGGGCCGTATCTGGCCCCCGGGCCTTAGTTTGAGGACCCCTGATCTAACCAGCCAGAAACCAAGGAAAGAGTGATCATTTTAATGTCAATTATCTAGCTTTTTAAAACCCATCAATAATGAAAAAATATTCCAAATTCTTAGTGCCAAACAGGAACCTTTTGAGTCCTGGAGGCTGCTGGGATCTTCCTGTTCCTGATAACACAAGATTCACACAGAGGCCTCCAAGATTTTGTCTGCCTGTCTCCAGTTCAGGAAGCATGCCACATTGACAAGGACGACCCGGGTGTGTGTTGCAACAAAAGGTTTCCCTCTGGAAAGGACCACCAGACTTTCCTTTTTCTCCCCTATTCCCAAAGTATATTCTGCTAAATTTAACAGAACATGCATCAAGATAAGAAGCAAACTATCAAGTGGTGGACTCCTCTTTCAGCGAGTCTAAGTCAATTATCCTAATCTCTTGCCCTCCTGGTGTTTTGGACTTCAGCTCCCAGAATTCCTAATCATTGGTTAAGGCAGCTGAGGCTTCTGGGAACTGACATCCAAAAATATGGAAAACCAGAGTTTGGGAAGCACTGATCTACATCTTGCTGCATAACAGACTGAGCACAACTGATTTAGAGGGGAGCCCAATATTTTTCCTTCTGCAGTAAACACAGCATCAGTACATCATAAGTACTTATCTGCAAAGGAACATGGAGGGTTATTTATGGCAACTTTAGACGGGCAAAGAGGAAGTGATAACTATGGGACAAAAGAGGTGAAAGGAAGACAAATGGAGAACTACGAAGACTAAAACTATACACACAATCACACCGGGTTTTGCCCTTTATCACTTGTGTTGCATGTGTGTCAGTTTTTGTTTTCTAGAATCCTACCTTTCATTTCTAATACTGCATGATCGGGCACATCCTTCCCCTCCTCATCAGTGCGCTTTATTGTTCGATCTCTTAAGTCCTCGTCCGTGGGACAAATAACAATAGCCTTGCGTTGGAAACCTTCAAAAGGGCGCATTTTTCGTCTCTGGGCAGATCCATAAACATTTGTCTAGCAATGGTGACAAAGAAGAGGCAAAGAAACTGGTCGTTACTTGTCAAGTTTGCGTTCTTCCTAAGTGGCGTAACAGACCCCCAAACCATGGAGAAGGCAAGACTAGCTCTCTGTTTACCCACAGATCCAAAGGACGTGTGTCGAGCAGGGGCTGTGTGTACACTTCTTTGAGAGCCATTCACTGACAACTAACCCACCTTTCTTGCCACTTTCGCGGGCTAAAAGCAATAAATGCACACCAGCTTTTTCAATTCAAATGAGACCTCTAGGGATGCCAGGAGAGCAGGAACAGAGTCTTCTTTGTGCAGGAAAGGGGCGATGTATATTTTGAAAGAGAAGCCAGAGAAACAGCTTTAGGGAACTTAAACAAGGAAGCAGAAGAGGAGTTTGTAATCCATCTGCTTAGATGTGTATTTCTTGGAGGCCGAGTTGAGGTCTAGAAAGTCGATTTAACAAAAACACTTGTCTCAGTTCAATTGACAGGCCCTTTCTTTGTCAAGGAAGAACACATTGCTTGTGGATGTATTGTTTTTAATTTGATTTATTTCTAATTGTAGTGTATAATTGTAATTGTTTTTACTGGCATGGAATTTTGCCATTACTTATGTGTAAACCGCTTTGAGGGTGAGAAAAGCAGTATACAAATACTGTAAATAATAATAATAATAATAATAATAATAATAATAATAATTATTATTATTATTATTATTATTATTATTATTATTATTAGACTTGATAATGGGGTTTGGAAATCTGTGGCTTGTTGTCTGACTCCTTACCCTTCAAAAGAAATCACAAAAACCTACAAGGCCGGAAGAGCTCAATACCTGATCCAGGATGTAGTTACGCTTTTTTCGCGCTGCAATCTGGATGAGGCGGTTCAGGCACTGCGTCGCTTGCTGGATGAGAACGTCCCAACGGCCGGCATAGTTCCGTTGGCGTCGAAGCCCCATTACCTGAAGAAAAGACATGGCTGATGAGAAGAAAAGTAAATGCTTCCAACAACTGGTCTGGAGAATGTGCAGTGGGTTAATATCATACCTTCATTTTGTCCATGATAGCATTTGTTCCCAGAATGTTGTATTTCTTGCCCGGGTTGGCTGCAGCATGCTTAATGGCCCACGTGGTCTTCCCAGCAGCAGGTAACCCCACCATCATCAAGATCTGAAAGACACGTTAAGTCAGCCAGGTGCACATTTTAAACCCTCAAAATAAGAGGAATGAATCATCACACAAGGTAGCTTAGCTTTTAGTCATGAGATCAGCCAATGCCAGCCCCTTTCCCGCAGTACCTACTTAATAATAATAATAATAATAATAATAATAATAATCTTTATTTATACTCTGCCACCATCTCCCCAACGGGGACTCGGAGTGGCTTAAATGGGGCCAAGCCCGGACAACATATTACAGCAAAAATAAAACCAAAACATAAGAAACATTCCTCACATACTTCACATTCTCCTTTGTTCTTTGGTCCAATTGTCCCTCGAACTCGCTCTGAGAGTGGAAGGTGCTGAATGAAGGTGAAACCCGGTGGAACGGGAAAGAAGGTGTCCTCTCTCTGACCAAAGTTGAACTCAATGGCGCAGTTCTTCACCAGGACGTGAGGAAAGAGTGCTTGGCCGCCTAGGATGTCCTTCCGCAGCCGGTAGGCTACCCCCAGCCACTTCCCATTCTTCATGAAAGACATCTCAATGTCATCACCACACTCAAAGTCCTAAGAACAAGGATAGAGTAATTTAGCCAGGGCACCACATTCATGTCAGAAAAATTAAAAATTAACTAGGTATTTTTGGTTATAAAAATGTGAGCCAAGCACGGAAAGGATTAAATGGATGCAGTGACTCAGAGAAGCTACGGTTCAAAAGAAGCAGGCTTGGCCTGTTGCTTAGCAACAACTCAGTCTGAGGTAAACCTCAGTGGGAGAAAAGTTTGTGAGGAGGCCTCAGTGTGAGGGAGGCCTTAGTCTATGAGAAGGCGGGGTAGCGAAAACAAATATTTGTTTTTCTTATTATTATGAGAAGGCAGAATATGAGAAGGCCTGGTGTAAGAAGCTTCGGTGACAGAAGCTCCAGTTTGAAGGACTCGTGTGTAATGATGTGTGTAAAGCTCCTGTGTCAGTTTGGTCTGAGAGGAAACTCTGTGGGAGCGAAGCTTGTTTATCATCATGAGGAAGAATCCCATCATGGAAACATAGAAGGAAGTATAAAGGACTTTATTTGTGTTGCAGAAACCTTGATACTGTAAATAATTCAACTATATTATTTTACTACAAAGAAAAGCCTCCTATGGAAGATATAACATTGGCCTGTGTGTGTTTTGTTCTTTTTATCACTTTCAGCTCCTGGTGCTGGCTCACGCTGCTAAGTTACTCTGGTGTACATTTATGAGGAGGGCCTTTTGTTAATAAGCCCACTCGTCCTACAATTCAGAGCACAAAACGACAGCAAGGTTACACATTACAATGGCATGTGAAGTGCCTGAAAATTTGGTGTTTTCCCCAAGAACTGTTTGAAGACCCTATGCAAACATTACTGGCCTCGGTATTATCCTAAACCAGTACTGTTTAACACACAATTCGTTTATGAAAATAGAATGGTAACTCCCAGAATACTACACATCGAACTCACCAGAAGGCAAGTGATTATGTCATTCTCAGTAAAGCATTCGCCATAATTCTCAAACTTGCAATTAGTAGATTTCTTTCCAGTGCCCCCATAGCCGTAGGAGAAAAGCTCTTCGCCTAATGGAACAAACAAACACTGCTGTTACAGCAGGCCTTTTCAACCTGCAGTCCTCCAGGTGTTTGGGCCTACAACTCCCATAACCCCTAGCCAGCTTGTTCAATGGTCAGGAATTCTAGGAGCTGAAGTCCAAAAATGCCTGGAGGGCTGCAGGTTGTAGAGGCCAGCGTTAGAGGGAAAGAGGATTTTCAGTATCACAAAGTGCCTTTTATCACCTGAAGCTGGTCTACCAACAATGGACAAAGACAGCATTTTTACACTCGTCCATGCTCTAGTAGCCTCTAAGTTTAAACCTAATTCAAAGTGCTGATTTAAACCTTTTAAATGGTTCCTGGATTTTCTCCACTCACACTTAGCAACCCAGATCCTAATATCTTTCTTATAGGCATTTTAGTATGACATAAAACAGTTACGGGAAGTGACTACCAGACACAGGGATTTTTCAGTCGTGTTGCTCAGTCTTCCCAAATATGCATGACCCTCATATCTACAGAAGTAGTACACACAATTTGATTATCTACATTCAACAACATATGTCCCCTACAGGCATTTGCTAGGTCCTCCGGCATGACTCTATGGTAGAGTTGTCAAATTTGTGGCCCTCCAGATGTTTGGGCCTCCAACTCCCAGTCCTAGTCAGCTTGTCCAATAGCAAGGAATTTCTGGGAGTTGAGGTCCAAAACACCTGGAGGGCCACAGGTTTGACACCACTATGGCATTCTTGGACCAGAGGTCCTTCATGTCAACAGTGTGTGCCATTATCCATGGTTCCGCATTATCCACACAATGTTCCAGGATGTCTCCCCTGTTAATGCGGAGATCAGTCTGTACTCAAAAAAGAAGAACGAGGTCTGTGTCCTGACTCATGCCCAAATTCATTGGCTATTGTCTCTCATACCTAACTGGGTGCTGCATGAGTCCAGTGACCAGCCAATGCGCACAACATGAGGATCAGGTTCCGTGGGAGGAAGGTGCTTGACAGAGATCTCTTCATTGATCTGGGGACAAAGGACAGAGACCTAGTCAGGAAGGATCCTGTAGCCACAATATAAATATTCAATAACAACAACAATTATTTATTTATATCCTTCCTTCTGTCCCCCAAAAACAGGGACTCTGGGAAGAAGGAGTTACTAAGAAATAGCCTTTATCAATGATAGCTTTAAAGGGCTTCCCAGAAAAGGCTATGCTGGGTTTTGAAGTGAGTTTCTTACAATAAAAATTTGTAATTGAGAAGTAAACTTGACCACAGAATGAATTACAGCTACCTATAAGTAGAAAGTGTAACTGGCACTGAACAAATTTTAGCAAGCAGAGGAGCAAAATAAAAACATGGCTATTTTCAGAAAATACAATAGGAGACACCCCTAGTTCTGGTGTGGAGAACTCATGCAGGTGACACAAACATCTTTAACTCTTATAGGCATTAAAAACCTGGATGTTCGAACAGGCATTTGGTTAATTCAGTGCAATGAATGTAATGATTAAAGGATTGGTAATATGGACGACGAAACTGGATCACGATTTTAGTCAGGAGATGCATTGGATTGTTATTGATGTGTGAATATTGTGTATTATGCTTTTATGGTTTTAAATTGTATACTGTTGATTGTTGTATTTTGTTGTAAACCGCGTTGAGTCGCCGGCTAGGCTGAGAAACGGCGGTATACAAGTATAGCAAATAAAATAAATAATAAATAACTCTCAATAGCAGCAGATATATCACGTCTGTGCAAACATTTCACATTAAATCCTCTGCATCTCTGCTTACTTCACAAACATCACATCTAGGCAGTGGGGAAATAGGCCCCTTTACCTTCATTTCATAGCAGATCCGCCCACGGCGCACCCCGTACGTGGCTCGTGCACCTGACCAGAGGAAAGCAAACCCTTCAATGGTCAGAGGGTAGCCACTGTATCGGTCACGAGCAACTTTAAAATGTAGATCACAATTATCTGAAAAGGCAAAGGCAAGGAAGGGGTCAAAGAAAGGTAGAAGAGCATTCCAGCAGAGATGTGAGGGTCCAAAGTGCTTTACAGACCATAGACATACGTAATGTAAATATCAGAGATGTCAAGAGCATTCCACACAGCACTACTATTGTTGTGTGTTGAAGTTGTTTCTGACTTATGGCAGCCCTAAGGCAAACCTATCATAAGGATTTCCTGGAAAGATTGGTTTACAAGGGGTTTGCCACTGCTTTCCTCTGAAGCCGAGGAAAAGGTGTCAGAAGTCATTCACCAGTTTCTTAATCCTTGCCTCCTGGACTCCTACTGAAAAGCTCAAAACTCAACCGAGGGGCTACCGATTAAAAAGGGAAAAGAGACAGGGAAGAGCTTCTTGTATTGAAAGCAACAAAGCACAATGCCTGTAAAACACTACTTCCAATACCAGTGGGGGGGGGGGGGGGAATTGAACACATTCTTAAACTTCAAAAAATGTGCATGAACTAGTTCAGATTGAAACTGTGCTACTTCTTGGACTTTCAGGTCTGTTTAGCCACGAATGATTGCACACTTATTTTGAGAAATTGAGGAAGGAGACAGATAAGGCCTTCAAAATTCATGCCCTATCCACAATTTTGTTGAATATGCTGTGTTCCTTAGCTGCCTCCAGCTCTGGATAACATAAAGAATCTAGACTTCCACCCAGCTTGTTGCTTCAGTAACAGAAGAGCCTACAGCTTCCCAAAGGGCACACAAAGTCTGATATTAAAACCTTGAGGCTATTTATTTGGGAGGACTATGTCTCAGTAATCCTGCAGTTCCTCCTCTCGCTTCTTTCATTTGTTGCTTCTGATAGTAATCAACAATATGTCAAACATTCCCCTGAACCCGCTGCCACCCATCTTAACACATCCTTGAAGAAAATAGAAAGTAAGATAGCGGGGGGGGGGGGGGGGGGGGGGGGTTGAGATATCACACCCTTCTGCAATGCAAGTTAACAAGGTCAGATAAGAGAGAGATCCCCGCAACTCACATGTATCAATGGCCACCAGAGTGTCATCAAAATTGTCTTCATCATCTTCAGCAGGTGGCTGAGGAGATCGGCCTCTGGAAAAGAGAATGCAAATACAGGACTTATAAATCCATTTGATGAGATCATGTCTATGTGTGTTATATTAATTGTATTGTTCATTTTGCTTATTCCCTGTTGTTTTTATTGATGTGTTGCTGTTGGGCTTGGCCTCATGTAAGCTGCCCCGAGTCCCTTGGGGAGATGGTGGCAGGGTATAAATAAAGTTTTATTATTATTTTTATTATCACTTGCAAGGCAAGTATACAAGCTCACAAAGATCAGAAAATGCACGGAAACCCATTCCCACTCTGGGTGATGAAGAACGCTATTGCAAATCAACTTTGGATCTCTCACTAAATTCTTCAGGCTGCTGTCTCTTAATATTACAGCTGATAAGCAAATGTCTACAGGCAAGTAACCAAAATAGCTCTGTGCAACTATAGTATGGAAATTTCATTATTTGTAGTTAACAAATATCTATTTTAGCATACAAAACTGAAGTATCACCAAACAGCAAGTATATACCCCTAATGTTCACTATAATTTGAAACTTTTCTGAATTACTAAAACCCACAGAGAATAAGAATCCATTTCTGAGACAGAAACGTGCCAAAACATATATTTTCTTTTTGTATTAGAAGACCCTGCCAAGGCTTAGCTTCCAAATGTGACAAACCTACATCTTCCTCATTAACTCTGGAGAAATGGGAACATGTAACAGAAGACATGATCCACAAAAACGTGACTGAACGCACCTCTTATCGTCTCGATGTTCATAATAACCACGGCCCCGTGACTCTTCAAATGGCCTTTTACGGCCCTGTTGGTATTGCTGCTGTTGCTGCCAGGATTGAGATGAATCAGACATGCCATAATTGGAAGGTGGTGCATTGTAGCCAGACTGTGAACTATTGTAGTTAGGAGGGGGTCCAGAAGGAGCACCATAACTCATATTGTAGCCCGGGATGGGATCCTCTTGTTTAAATTCTGTCTTCATTTCTGCAATCAAACATAACACATCACATTAAAATACCCATACACCCTTGTGTGCAAGTCAACGTCATATATAAGTCAAGAGCATGTTCTGCGGGCTAGAATTATACATTTTAACATGACTGGAGGATAAGTTGAAGGTCATTCAATGGAGCGAGGAAAGCACCAATGCCATTGCAGGGAGCCAGCCACCCTTGGCCACTGCTGCCATTTTGTCATCTAGGCTTTCAAAAAGGCCAGAAATAACAGTACAGCAAAGGGGGTCGATCGTTCTTTTAAGCTGAGGTGGACTAAGCTCTAGTCTTTTGTCATTCTACTCAGACGAAGGGATGATTCTCTTTTGGATAAGAATTAAGGTACAGTACTCACACTGACCTGCGGGTAAGTTGACCCAGGTTTTTTGGGTCAATTTTTGACTGAAATGTCTAGATGTATAGATGACTATATACAGTAAACAAGAAGTCCCAAAATGGAAGGTACACATGCCTGCACAGTTTGCGGCCCTCCAGTTGTTTTGGATTTCAGCTTCCAGAATTCCTGGCCATTGAACAAGCTGGATAGGGCTTCTGGGAGCTGAGGGCCCCAAATAACTGAATGTGCAGGGCAACATTCAAGCCTTCACATGGCTTAAAGAAAGCACACATCTAAACAACTTCTGCAGCTCATTACAAGAAGGCGGAACCGTTGCCTTAATCCCAACAGATGTCCTATTTAACTCTCAATTTCCCAAGTGACTTGTCTCTAACAACAATCATTTAAGACACTGCCAAAGAGAGCTTCGGCTTATGGGTTTACAAGGATACTTAGCTCACTGGGACCTAGATCTAGAATTGAAATGATTGACAACTTGTATCTGCATGGGCCCCAAATATTGCTGAAATGCATCTCTTGTAAACAGCACAGTTTAATGGTAAGAGATGCAGAGAGGTGCCATCCGATATCATTTAGAAACCACACTGTGCCACTCCTTAGCCTCTACAAATTACAAATTCCTGCCATTTTCTCCCTATGTTGTGCACCATTCCATGATCACAGCATGGTATGCCAACTAAAGGGCAAGCATGCAGAGATTGACACAGGTCCCATTAAATTCTACAGCAAGAAATCAGCAGGTCTCAATCAAGGGCATAACTTAAACAGAAGCAAAATAACAGTAAGATCACCCCAGAAAAAAGGTCCAGGACTAGCCTCAGTACAAATGATATCTAAAAGCAACTCCTTGCCTCTGCCCAATTAAACAGATACCATCCACCTAGGCTATAATAAGAGACAATAGAAGATCAATGTATGGCTCAAGAGTGAGTATTTGGCCAATAATACAACAAAGCTTTGAATGCCCATTAGTCACTCAACCCAAAAAGACTGCAAACAAGAAAAAAGAGATATTGTTGACACCCCTCAAAACTTTTGTATTAAATCCACAAGGAAGCTAATCTCACATCATCAGCTAGTGTGCAAAGGCGAAACATTTTCAAGGTGTCTGACTGTACCTGAATGTAAGCTAGGAGGGTCTGGGTCTAGAGGTACCCTTTCGTACCCGGATTCCTCCTCCTGCTTAATGTTGCATTGTTCAAAAGACTGGTATCCATGCAGGTTGTTCTGGTGATCGTTGTCATCGAGGCCATCTTGAAACAGAAAATACAAGAACACAGATTAATGTCACTATTCCATCCCAAATGCCATTTTGAAGGGAAAGTGCATACTTCTGTATTTCCTAACATCTAATGGTAAATTCTGGTGACAATGAGATCATTCAGGCCTAGCATGTCAACCAGAACTAGGTTTAGTTAATACCTGTAGCAGAAAACAGTTCTTTTTCCTGGTGCATGATATGGGAGAGTAGATGGATTAATATCTGAAAGGTTTTCCCAGAAAAGGCCACCACACACAGGATATCAGATCATCCAGGGAGAAAAATCTGTCCTATTCACATACTGTTTCTCTGAATACATCAAGATAGATTATCTCCTACATCCCAATGAAGTTTGGAAATAACAGTTGGGAAAATACTACCCCATCCCTAAGGCAAAGGGTTATTCCAAGGCCCCAGAAAATATAATATAGGACTACCTTGAGGGAAAGTGTCTTGATCTGCAAGAGGTAAAATATATTTGTTTGAATGACTATTAAATGGTTGTATGCTTCCCCAATGTTGCATGGATACTACTAAGCAGAAAACATGCTACAGATTTTACAAAATAACAAGTCCTGGGCGGAGTGTTAGCAAACAAGGAAGTCAAGAGCAAGTACTTTTCTTACTATCCAAGGCAAAGCTAGCATTCTTAGAGAAAATTTGACCAGTGTCAACGTCAGAGACATCTGCCATACATTTACACACAATACCTTTTAGTTACTAAAGGCGATCTTTGTCCATCATTTTAGCGTGCCTCCTGAAACCACATGGATTTTAAGGCAGCCTTAAGAAAACGTTAGGAAAGCTGAGAGGATCAATATGAAAACTGGGAATCAATTAGCAACCGGAACCCTTGCCATCATCTAAGGCAGAGAGGCAAAGGCCCCATCTACACTATTGAATACAATTCAAAGCTAGCTTCAAACAACAAACTCCTACAAAAGCACAAGAAAGAAACCCCTTAATCTATGCTCTGACGTAATCACAATCCAGGCCATAAACTGATTCCAGAATATAATCATCTGGATAGTGAAAACACTTTTTTCAATTATCAGTGTGGAACTGCATTAAATGATTAGTGTAGATGTGTCCAGAGACTTGCAGAATGGAGCTGAAACACTGAGATGTGCTATATTTCTCATAGAAGATCAATACCAGAAGCAAATATTATATGTGGCTGTATCAGAAAAACAGCAATCCCTAGCAAGGGTCTGTTTACAAATAAAACAGAAAGAAGGGACCATTTCTGTCCCATTGGGAAGGGGTGAGTAACTTGTGCCTCCTCCAGATGTTTCTGGACAACTCTGGCTGACTCAGGAAGCCACTTTCCAATATCACCTTGGGGGCCACTGCTCTGGCAATCAGTACAGTTAGAGCATTTCTTCTCCAGAAATCTGAAGTACAGGCAGTCTCAGAGTTACAAATATCCGACTCAAGAATGGAGGCAAAGAAACAAGAGACCAACCTGGTGTCCAATAAAAAAAAAGGGGGGGGGGGTTCGAGACAACAGAGAGAAATCTACCTCTAGGAAGGGAAATTTATCATGGGAAAAAGGTGTTTCCACTGAAGCTTTATCCCCAATCCTTGTTTCCACAACAAGCCAAATTTTTCAAAACCCAATTCTCACGGGGACAGAAAGTGAGGTGAAATCTTTATGGTGTAAAGTAGGCATGTCCAAAATCCGGCCCGGGGTCCAATTGAAGCCCGTGTTCAAATTTCCACCAGCCAGCAGTCTATCATAAAAATCAATACTATGCAGCCCACCAGCACTGTTGACCATAGTATACAATGCACACGTACAAAAAAAGCTATTCTATATTTCACTCTCACCGTGTCACCCTTGTGCAAGCCTTCCTTTCCAGCTTATTTCTAAAGTCTGCCTAAATATTGATATATCTAAATACTGTTTTTGATATCTGATTCATAACATTTTTTAAATTTTTGATGATCAATTGAAAAATGTGAATTGATGGCAGTTAGTCTGAGTCTGCAGTAATCTTTGCACCTACAAATACAAAGTCTGTCACGGCCTCCACATTTTCTCCCTCTATTTTCCAGTTGTCAATCATTCTTGTCGCCATAATCTTGGTTTTTTTGATGTTTAGCTGTAACCCAGCTTTTGCGCTTTCTTCTTTCACCTTGATTAGAAGGCTCCTCAACTCCTCCTTGCTTTCGGCCATCAGAGTGGTGTCATCTGCATATCTAAGGTTGTTAATGTTTCTTCCAGCAATTTTCACCCCAGCCTTGCATTCCTCAAGCCCCGCACATCGCAAGACGATATGTATGAGGATACGGCTTTATTGTCCTATCAGTGGGCTTGTGGACTGCGTATTGTTTTAATGACTGTTATGATAATTTGGTTAATTAATTGCTATTTTTTTAAACTCTGTATGTATTTATGGTTTTATACATCGAATTGTTGCGTTTTGTTAGCCGCTCTGAGTCCCGTCCCTCCCGGGGGTTGAGAAGAGCGGGTTAAAAATGCTATAAATAAATAAATAAATACATTTTATTGTTGCATATTGGAAGTTGTAATGTTTTTCATTGTGAGCCGTTCTGAATCTCCACATGGAGAGAGAAAGCAGGGATATAAATCAATGAAATGAATGGTGTGTTTGGGATGTCTATAAAAAAATATAATATGAAGTAAAATATGAAGTCAACACAAAGCAGGGATGGGAGTTATAGAGTGCCTTCTAAGTGGGCTGGACTACAACCCCCTGCTAGGAGTAGCAATCTAGGGCAGGTATGGGCCAACTTGGGCCCTCCAGGTGTTTTGGACTTCCACTCCCACCATTCCTAACGGCCTCAGGACCTTTCCTTTTCCCCCTCAGCCGCTTAAGCGGCTGAGGGGGAAAAGGAACGGTCCTGAGGCCGTTAGGAATGGTGGGAGTGGAAGTCCAAACCACCTGGAGGGCCCAAGTTGGCCTAAGCCTGTCCTAGGCCCACCCGCTTCAGGAGCTTACAGTGTCCGTCCGAAAAGGGCTCCGGGCACGTCCCTCCGAGGCGTTCCTCCTCCAGCGTGGCCTGCAGCCGCTCGGCCAGCTCGGCTTTGAGGCCCCGGGTGTCGAGGCCGCGGCGGCCGAGCTCCTCCTTCAGCTCGTTGACGCGCAGCCGCCTCACATCCATGGCCTCCCGCTCCGTCCCCGCTCCGGACCCGGCTCAAAATGGCCGCCATCCCGCCCTCCGCCGCCCCGCCCTCGCCGCCGCGCGCCGGGACTCCCCATTGGCCAGACGTCCAGGGGGGAACGCTGCCCATTGGACGAGCCCTTTCCCTCCTTGCCCCCCGGCTAAGAAAGAGCCGCTGCGATTGGGCCGAGCATGTGGGTCGATCTATAAAAAGCATCCCGATTGGTTATCGGACATCCTCCTCCCCACTCACCCCTTTAAACTTCATTTCCCACAATTCTCGGCCCTCAACCGACGTAGCTGAGGTTTCTGGGAGTTGAAGTACGAAAACCTAAAAGGGGCCGGAGATTAGGAACCATCGCCACTCTTTCCCAAACGCCCTTAGGTTCAGCTCCCCAAAGCCATAATGATTAGCTGAGACCCTAAATGAAGTTCTTAAGCCCACTTTTCATGTCCTTAAATTGAGATCTCGTTTAGGTTATGTAAGCAGGCAAGGAAAGCATTGTCCATGACATCATCCAAAGTAGGCCAGGCCTAAATGATGCCAAAAAAGGGCTGCTGTCCCTTTAAAAAGTGGCTCAACGTAGTGCAGAGATATTCAGGGGGTTTTGGGGGAGTTGTAGTGCAAAACAAGCAAAGAGTGTGAAATAAAAAGGCCAAAAAGTAGTTTTTCCCAAGCAATTCACAGAGTTGGAAATGGTACTTGGTTGGACTTTAACTCCCGGAACTATATTCAGGAGGATTTGCAGCGCAAAACAAGCAAAGGATATGAAACAACAGGCCAAACAGTAACCTTTCCCAAGCCTTCAGCAGAGTAGGAAAAGGTACTTGGTTGGACTATAATTCCCAGCCTTGCATTCAGGGAGGTTTCTGGGAGTTGCAGTGCAAAACAAACAAAGGATATGAAACAACAGACTAAACAGTAACCTTTCCCAAGCCATGCGTAGAGTTGGAAATGGTACTTGGTTGGACTATAACTCCCAGCCTTACATTCAGGGGGTTTTTGGGGAGTTGTAGTGCAAAACAAGCAAAGAATGTGAAACAAAAGGCCAAAAAGTAGCTTTTCCCAAGCCATACACAGAGTTGGAAGTGGTACTTGGTTGGACTATAACTCCCAGAAGTATATTCAGAGGGATTTGGGGAGTTGCAATGTAAAGCAAGCAAAGAATATGAAACAACAGGCCAAAGAGCAACTTTTCTCAAGCCATCTGCAGAGTTGGAAATGGTACTTGGTTGGACTATAACTCCCAGAACTATATTCAGGGGGTTTTTTGGGAAGTTGCAGCACAAAACAAGCAAAGAATGTGAAACAAAACGCCAAAAAGTAGCTTTTCCCAAGCTATTCACAGAGTTGGAAACGGTACTTGGTTGGACTATAACTCCCAGAACTATATTCAGGGGGTATTTGGGGAGTTGCAGTGTAAAGTAAGGAAGGGATATGAAACAACAGGCCAAAGAGCAACTTTTCTCAAGCCATGCGTAGAGTTCAAAATGGTACTTGGTTGGACTATAACTCCCAGAACTATATTCAGGGGGATTTGGGGAGTTGCAGTGTAAAGCAAGCAAAGGATATGAAACAACAGGCCAA